AAGCAAATTAGTCTTCAAAAGTTGCCAAAAAAATCTGAATCTACATACTAATACATTTTATAGTTGCATTTAATGTATCCAATTTTCTTATTACATGAAAATGAAAAATATTCTAGATATTGAAGAAATACCAAAATGACTTACATAGTAAACTATTCTTTACCAGCAGAGTGTAAAAACAGTTATGAGGCATAAAGCCCTCACTCTGCAATTTTCCTGCTTGTATAAGGAAAACTAAAGTTTCTTTCATTATTAATTCATGACTTTAAACTTTTGTAGCTTTATCACATTTCTTATAGCTAAACTTAGAAATAAAATTGGATGATTCATTTTTCAGCTTTTTCAAGAAGGATAAGTAACAATTCTTAATCTTAATTTTTATTGTTAAATCATATCACTTTGAATACAGTAACTCACAAATATACAAATTATGAATATAAATGTTTAATATAAATATTTAAATTTATTAAAAGACTACCATGAGGTTGAAGTTTTCATTTTACACATAAGAAATTATTCCCACAAAAAGGTGAAGGGGTTTATGCAGATTTAGAATGAACAGGTGTTAACACCAGTATAAATTTAATGAACTTGATTCTTGTCAATATTTATATCCCACCTTATGCAAATATGTCATTTCTATATAAAAATAATTTAAACACCCCATCGTCTAATTAAGTTAGTGTGTTCCCATAAAACAATGCAAAGAGCCAGGATACAGCTCAATGGCTTACATGCCTGCCTGGCAAGTGGAAGGTCCTGAGTTTGATGCAAAGGAATACATGCAAAGTGAAAAAAAAAAAAATGCAAAGTGGCAGAGGAAAGCTATGTGCAATTACATGTACAAATGTAATTGCTCATACACTGAACATATATAATTACATACAGAAATTTTCGGACATAGCTGCTTGAGTTCAATCACATTCAGTTTCCTAAATTTACAGGTTAACATGAAATTACAAGCCTAATTTATAGGCCATGTTAGCATAATTTTTTTACTGGCTTTATCTTGTGGCATGACAATTAAACACAAAATCTTTGAAGGCTTTATATATTGGCTATGTCATTTATTCAGTAAAATTTGGTAAAGAAATAAAATTCTGAGTCTTCATTTATGTCCTGTCACAATTAAGGATGATATAATAAATTAATAGCATGAATGATGTACCAAAGCAATTATCACTTAGAATTTTTTGCCTTTCTTAATACGATAAATAAAAACACAGAATGTATGGCTCATTGAAATGGGTACAATGGGATTATTTAAAAATTGTATTTGAACAGAAAATACCTAATTATTTTCATTTCTCTCAAATTCCATATATTACAGTTAATGTAAAACCAGCTTTTAAAATTGAAATCTTAGAATTTGCTTGATTATTGAACTCACAAAATTAATATAATGATTAAAAAATTTGACATTTGATTTAGCTTATTAACCTGCATATGGTTAAATATATAAAAAAATAATGCTTGACACTACATGCAAAGTCATCATTCTAGAAATGCTGGGTAATTTTAGGGTCATCAGAAAATATAAGACATCTTTTATCTGTTAATCTCTATCTGTCCTCTCCTCATCACATAATTTGCTATCAAGATACAACTTTTCAATTGTCTAATAGTATTCAATTTTATTTTTTTACACTTTTACAAAATATGTATTTGTGAATGTGTACACGTGTATGCATCCCTCAACTTGAATGTAACATGTAATTTCATATTGCATGTAAAATTTTATTTAGCCCAAACAGGTAAAAATTTAATTATTTGTTAAAGATAAGAAATACATTCTAAACATGTTCTATACATTATATGAACATATTTACATTATATCATGTTTATGTGTATTTTGTAAATAGCTTTTTATTGTGACTTTGAAATACATTTGATTCATAATTTTACACTTACATGATCATGCAAATTGCTTAACTGATGTTCCAGAACTGGGCTGACTCTCATTATTCATAGAAGTGTGCTCTATAAAATTATCCTATACACTGAGTTTGTAAGTACTGAACCACTGCTCATAGGAGAAATATGGGATTAATTTTCTACCAGATCCCATCAACCAATACCTACTGCCTTTTATTTGTGTTTCTACTTAAAGACATCTTAGTTAATTATATATATATATATATATATATATATATATATATATATAGTTGGTTCATACATATGATGCGAAAACCCTCTGCTTACATTGTAACTCATGTCTGAACAAAGCTTATCTAACACAAATACTTTCAGAGATATACTGCAGTGTTCTTGCTTTAGGAATATCAGATTGCATTTCATCAACACTCAAGGGAGCATTTTTAATAGCAAAATGTCCAATAAAATACACAAAAACATGTTAAGCAGACTACAAAGATACTTGGCTGCAGTGCAACAGCAGAAGCATAATGGCAGAATACTGCATGGAATTCAGATTTCAAAAATACGAATAAGAAACAATAAAGAAAACAAACAATCAGAATTCTCATACCAGAATAAACTGTAGTAAGCATACTGGTGAACATTATGCTGGAGTTTCAGGAATACATGTGTGTGTGCATCACTTCTCATGTGGAAATAACAGCTAAAATTCTACTAAAATTATATGTATAATTAAGTACTGAGAGAAACAAAACTTTCAACTAGTTTAATTATTCTTAAGCATTTTCACAATCGGATTATGACTTTTTAAAATTTACTTTCAACTCAATATGCAATGATGTTGCAATATTGTCCCTTGGCCTATCAAGACCACCATATCATCCCCCAGGCTAGCCAAAGAAGATTCACATTTCTCCGAAGGGTATCATGATGGTCACTGGGCATTTCTTCCAACCTGGTTATGCTATTGTAAGCTTTGGCATTGATGCTTTCTTGACCTTACCAGATCATATCTATAGAAGATATTCAGAAAACCACAGGACTTACATTCCTTCTTCAAGTGGTTTGTTGATTTAAATATGAAGGAATTGATACTAACCAACCAGCACACCCATTAAATTTGTATTTCTTTTGGTCAAAGCTCCACTGCCACTTTAGTAATACAGGGAGTAAGATCTCAAAGGCGTTAAACATGTACTTCTAATAAGCGCTTCCCTGGCAAGCACAAGGGCCTGAGTTCAATCCCTGGTTCCGCCAAAAAAAAAAAAAAAAAAAAATGTACTTCTTAGAACTGAAGAAACAGTAATTTAAATAGTGTTATGTATGACTTTATGTATATAAATTTAATAAAAATAAATGCACTGCACAAGGTGTTTTATTATTTTTCTTATTTGTCTGACAAACTCATGAATACATATGCACATCTTCAACTTCAACACTATACCATTGGTTAATATTTCTTATGTTACATAAGTAAGCCCAGCAACATTCAGATTGTTTACCGTATCTCAATATTATCAGCTATATATTAGTAAGTACTGTTTATATCCTCCTGATTTGACCCAGTCAAATTCTTCACTGCTCCACTTCTTCATTCTTACAATGAATAAGTTGGACAGTCCTACAACATTGTTGCCTTAGAACATTTCTAATGCTTTATAGGTTTGTCACAATACAGTCAAAGATAATAAGGAGTCAATCATTGTATCCCAATTTTCAGTATAATTACTGATATACAATATAGTACTGTTAGTTGTACCTGTTGACAGGTGCTCACTTGAGCAGGTTTCTTAAGGTTGTATGTGATCTCTTCAAGCCAGTCACTTTACTCTGAGGCGTATGTATAAGGACAATGGAAAGAAGGGAGGTAGAGCAGATTCTGGATCACCTGAAAAAAATTAGACAGCAAGTGTTACATGTATAGCTGAATTTTATACCTCACTGGAACCACTAGCTTTTAACTCATCCTAGTATTTGTGACTATCTTTCAATAACTAGCAAAACTGAATGTATATATACTTATATTTGTCAATCTTCTAAAAAAACTAAGCTATGACCAAAATGACCAAATGTGTCCATAAGAAAAAAGTGATAAGACAAAAAAATTGTGCTTTTAAAAAAATAACTGTGTAGATTTCATATCTATTATTATGAAACAGAATTAAGTAGCATATATTAGCTGTCACTCAATTCCCTGTACACATTTAAAAATAATGTGCTTTACAAGTCAAATAAGCATCCACTAACAATGGAAATAATAGAGAAGTTTATATATTTTGTTTGTTTTGGGTATTTTTGTTGGTACTAGGGATGGAAGTGAGAGGCTGAGAGAAGGTCTTGCCTAAGTGACTAAGTTGCCTAGGTGGGCTTGAACTAAAATGGCTTGTATGCAGGGCCACCTATTTTAAAGTGCTGAGTGAAGTCAACCATGGCAGGGCTCCCTTGTAATCCCAGCATTGTGGCAGGCTGAAATAGGATGATCACAAGACAAGGTGCAGCCAAGAACAACTTAATGATGTGATGTGAGGTGGAAGGAAGGAAGGAAGGGAGGGAGGGAGGGAGGGAGGGAGGGAGGGAAGAAAGGCTGCCAGGCAGGCAGGCAGGCAGGCAGGCAGCCTAGAGATATAGCTCACTGTGAAGGGACTGATTCAATACCAGAAAGGAAAAAAGGGAAGGGAGCAGGAGGGAGAAAAAAGAAAGAATGAGGGGATAGAGAGGGGGAGAGGGAGAGAGGGAGGGAAAGAAGGAACAGTGAAGAGGGGAAAGAAGAAAAAAAGAAAAATGGAGGCTGAAGAAAAGGAGAAGGAAAAGGGATGAAGGAGGCTGGGGGTGTACAAGGAAGAAACGAAGAGAGGAAGGGAGGGAAGGAAGAATGAGACTGAACTGGAGGGGACAGAAAGGGAGGGAAGAGTGAAGATGTGAAAGAAATGAAAGGAAAGGGAAGGGAGGGGGAGGAGAGAGTGAGCCAAATGAAGACAATACCGCAGCCAGGTCAAAGCAAGTCCGCAGGAAAGGATGAAGAATGTGTGATCTAAATGCAAAAGGTGGTGATAAGTTGACAGTAAAGTCTAAAGATGATTGAAGGTGCTTAAATCCATACAGTCTGAGAAACAGACAAGAATGCCATTCGAGGTTTAACTTGTGATAGGAATGAAGAGTTCACAACAAATCAGTCTTCTACACCTAAGAATATTAAGAACAGGGTCAGGCCAGCTACTCCAAGGTTTTTGCAACTCCATCTGACCCCAGTAAGCAGCCCACGCAAAGACAGAAAACTTTTATATTTCATTTCCTGGGGCATAGTGAACTGCCAACTTCATAGCAAAGCCTCAAAGGAAAGCCTGAGGCATGTATGAAAATCAGGCTTTGACCCTGCAGCCTGTCATTAACTATATTTCTGGATTACACACATCAGCTTAAGGACCAGGACAAAAGAGATTTTGAAAAGTCCAGATTGTATGTATTTTCCAAAATTTCTATGACATTTCACATTGTCTTAACATGACTGGCCCATTTTTTCCTAGAAAGACAAATTCATATCCTGGATTCCTTTCAGCAAAGGAGTCCTTAATCCAGTAACCCCTTCCTTGACAGTTCCATCTACCTTAATCTATGCTGCAGCCATTCTCTACATGTGGTAAACTATCACAGTCTAATTTAGACAAATTTATGGAGATATATGATGTATATATATATGGTCTTTAGTTTTAAAAATGAAAGGTAACATTTTAGAATTTGTGTGATTAAAAAATAAGACAATGCTTAAGCAAAGAGGAAGGCTTTCATTTTAATTACTTTGAGGACCACATCCTGCAGTCCAAGTAGCCATAAAACTTATTACTGGCTGTAAAAACCATGGCAACTATTGCAGCTAGCAGTTAGGGTGTAGTATCTGCTAATTTAGCCTCTTAACAGCCCCCGTTCATGATAATAAAACATTATCACACATTTTACGATAGTTTTTATTATCATAGCATACATGAAAAAATCATGTTTTCTCTAATTTTTTTCAAACAATTCAATTGATTTTGATAATCTCATGAAATCAAGTAACTGATGTTTTGAGCCACATTTCACAGATGAAGGCATAAAACATCAGAGGTAAATAGAGTACCTCTCTTCAGAGACAGGAAGGGAAATGTGGGTGGTTCCTTTAGAGGGGATATTAGTGAGGACAGGTGGAGCTGGGAGACAGCAATCGCAGACATGGTTATTTAATTTCCTTCATTGTCATGTGAAGATTTTAACCGTGACTGTCTTACTGTGATTAATTAAGCAGTAAGTAAATGTCTATGGTGATTATTAACAAAATTGCTATCCCATAGCATTAATTATATGTAATCCAGTTTGGAAAAGAAGAACAAGCCCAAACTGTTATCCATTTCTTCATACTTTTTATAAAAAAACTTGTATCTGAGTAGTATACCTGCTGGCATATTTGTAGTTTTCTCTCCCAGAGGAAGTTTAAGGGAAACTACATATATGGATCCACACTGGGAATATGGTGACAGAGGAGTGTGCCTCAGTTCAGGATTTTTCTCCCCATAGTTTTTAAAACTTAATAACTCTTTCTAGACACAAAAACCTTACCCAGCACCCTAATATCCCAACCGGACACTCTAGACGCCTGCACGGGTGAGGCACAGACAGTCCGGATCCCACTATTAGACCATCGTGTCTCTCTGAAGTGGCCCCTGAGTTTCTAGATACGCTTAAGAATCCCTGAAGCACGGGCAGGAAGCCACGCCTAGTATTTTCTCACCTCTCATATTTAGTGACATTCTCTAGCCAACATATAAAAAATAAAATTATACTTAAGTGATTTTGTATTCTCTATTTTGTATCTAGTCTTCAAATATCTTCTGGAATTTTGATTCTTTTTTCAATTTGGAAGGATTATATCATTACTGACCCTATGGAAGAAGAGTTTTTTTTGTTTTTTTTTTAACCTTCATGTTTCTAGAAAGATTGCACAGCCAGGGAATTCTTTTCTGACCTTTTTAAAAATTAAAGTACTTATCTTAAAAAAATCACATTTTAAAAATCTCCTTATATCAATAATTCAAGAAATATGCTAGAATCCTCTAAAATTCTCTACAAACTATAACACTGCTGGAAGAGGACTAAAAGTACCAGAGCCACATGAGTCAAGCCAGCCAGAGGCATGCAGAACTGCACTGTCCTGTCGCGTCTGGTCACCTGATGACAGAAACCTCTGCTCACCGCCTGGAAGGCGAACCCTGTGCATCACAGTTCTAGAATCCCGAGTGTACGCAGTTCCATTATGACACATCTCGCTGTCACCCAGCACGGTGTTGCTCAGAGTCTCACGATTTCATGGACTTCACTCCACTTTCATTGAATCATCATATTTATGACTAAACTAAAGAAAACCTAAATGCCCCTCTATAAAATGGCTGAAAATATCAGTCATCCACTCAATGGACTACAAACATACATTAAATGAGTTATGAAAATTATGCAATAGCACAGTATGTATTATGTAATTTTCAGTAAAAAAGTGATACTGATAGTAAGTATAAGCAAAATTACAAACATATTGTAAAAATGTAAGAAAACACAATATATTAGTCTTAGTGTGAGGATTTTAGGAAAAAAATGTATTTCGTTAACTATGTTAATTTAGTACAACATCATTATAACATCTTTATTTATTTATTTATTGCGGAACCGGGGATTGAACTCAAGCCCTTGCACTTGCCAGGGAAGCACTTATGCCACTGAGCCATATCCCCGGCCCCATAACATCTTGATATATAAAATACATCAATGTTACACCATTTACTTATTTGCCAAGATTTTGGCTTTTTTATTTTCCATAATTTTATTCAGAAACAAATAGCAATGACACAGTTTCAAACCAAATTGATAGGACAATTTCAATAATAACACATGTACACACTGCATACATTCCTCCTAGTAGTTAATTGCTGTATAAGATGCGCACATGATATCCCATTTACAAACGCTATTAGAACAAATCCCACTATTCATTAAGAGAATGTAAATATATATCTATCCTAACCATTTTTAATACACAGATACAAAACGGACATTCATCTGTATTGCCTTTTTTTGTTTAGTTCCATTATTTGAATATTATACGAAAAAAATAAAAGAATATTTAAGGGCCAGGAATATAGCTCAGTTGAATAAACACAGGCCTTGTGAGGCCAATGACCTGAGTTCAATCCCTAGTTCTGAAAAAAAAAGAATATTATAGGTGTGTGAACTCAGCAAAATATTCTAAAAGAGTCCAGTAGTCCATAATAGTGTTGGGTCTTCCGCTTCACTGGCAATGTCAGAAATTGTTGACCTGAGTCTCCTACAGCTCAACATAACACCATGGCTTCACTTTTATACTTCGTTTTTATACTTTTCTGCTGGATGAATAAGACGAAAGTAAAGCACGACCTATGCAACAAGAGCTGCAGCTTTTGGGTCTGATAAGGTCAATGAAATCCCCTCAGGCTTTATCCTGAGATCCTGTACTTCAGATTGTAGATCCTTTGTCAGTGTCAGCCATGTGGATGAGTCATGGCCATTGCTTGGCTAATGTGCTCTCTGTGAAAGCCTGAGAGAATGTTTTCTCTCCATGTGACTCTCCTTAGGCACACTCTACATCATTGATCACTTTCCTCTTTGGCTCCATAATCTCCTTGATCAGAAAATTTGGGACACTACCGAGGTACATGACGTTACAGTACAAGTTCTCATATGTCTTGAGTCTTAAATGACCTTGAAAGGCTAGGGCCAAAACGTTGGCTTTCTTTGCAGCCCTGCCATTTCTCTAATTTTGCTCTACAAACTCACGTTGTTAACAATCCAGAAGACAAGCTTATTGTTATTACCATACAACCTAGGCTG